AAAGAAAAAAGCCGGAAGTGGCGCTGTGGCTCAAGTGGTAGAGCGCTAGCCTTGAGCTGAAGAGCTGAGGGACAGCGCCCAGGCCCAGAATTCAGGCCCCACGACCGGACCCAAAAAAAAAAAAGTGTTAGTAATTGGTTCATTGAGATTTTAAATAATTCTCTGATTCTGTTATAGAAGTATTCTCCTTTATTTGGAAAAGAATAGGTGTATCTTACATGGTATCTAGGTTAATAATTACAGATTCTGCATGAAATTTGATGTTTTTCTTCTAGCTCCAAGCCAAAATAGAGGACTCCAAAATCTGGTACCTCAGCAGATGCAAAGCAATTGTAGAATTACAGTTTTTGATGAAAATGCTGATGAAGCTTCTAGAGCAGAGTTGTCTAAGCCTACAGTCCAGCCATGGTTGGCACCACCTGTCCCCAGGGCCAAAGAAAATGAGTTGCAAGCAGGCCCTTGGAACATAGACAGGTCTTTGGAATACAGGGTAAGAATTTGTAGAGCTGATTTAGCTCTTAATTCCTGTTGTGTAGTTAGACAGGGTCTGCATATTTTGTGGCAAAATGGTGATTTTACTTTTTATTTTTTGTTTCTAGTCTCAGGCCATTTCATCTTCTATCACAGCTGTACCCACTGCTCTTCCCAGTTTTACTCCATATGTACCCGCTGCTCTTCCCAGTTTTACTCCATATGTGGAAGAGACGGCACAACAGCCAGCTATGTGAGTTGGGTTTCTAAAAACTTTAATGTGGGAATTAGTAAGGGGCAGTGATACCTATTCTAGTTCCCGAAGACATTTTCATCTTTGTGAAAATGAAAAAAGATCCAGAGAATCTATGTGTATACTTTTTTGAGGATTGAACCCAGGGCCTTACACTTGCTAGGCAAATGCTTTATCATTCAGCTATATCCTAGCTCATCATTAAATGAAATTTAAAGCTATCTAGGAGATGTTCTAGAAAATATTGACAATATTTCCACATAGCCAAAAACTTTAACTTCACATCCTACGTTCCCTTATACTTTATTCCTAAATCTAATTCTTTGTGCTGCTAAACAGTGAATAATGACTACATTGGTAGATTAATTTCTCATCAGGTTTGAGTAAGGTGTAGTATTTTTTAAGTATGAGAAGGAATAGATGACACTAATTTATTGATAATTTCCTTTCTCAAAAAAAAAATTTCTCTGGCATGTAAACCACCAGTTTCCCCTCTGTTGGGGATCAAAGTAAGAACATTACCCTGTGTTTAAGCAAGCACTTTATCATTAAGCTATATCTTCATGCTCAGAAAGTAATTGTTGCTTCTGCTTAGCTCCATCTTATTATTTTATTTTCATGAAATGGATCACATATGGGGCTGGGAAGGTGGCTCAGTGGTAGAGCGCTTGCCTTGCATGCCTGAGGCCCTGGGCTCGATTCCCCAGCACCACATAAGCAAAAAGAAAAAAGGTAGAAGTGGTGCTATGGCTCAAATGTAGAGCACTAGCCTTGACCTGAAGAGCTGAGGGACAGCACCCAGGCCCAGAGTTCAGGCCCCACGACCGGACCCAAAAAAAAAAGAAAAAGAAATGGATCACATATAGTCTTGCTATTGGCATTGTCTGTATGTTTAGTCAAAATATGTAAGAAATAACTGATTTTGACCTTATAGTAAAATAATAATTATTATTTTGCTTCTTTAGGACACCATGTAAAATTGAACCTAGTATAAATCATGTTCTGAGCACCAGAAAGCCTGGAAAGGAAGAAGGAGATCCCTTACAAAGAGTTCAAAGCCATCAGCAAGCATCTGAAGAAAAGAAAGAGAAGATGATGTATTGTAAGGAGAAGATTTATGCAGGAGTAGGGGAGTTCTCCTTTGAAGAAATCCGGGCTGAAGCCTTCCGAAAGAAATTGAATGAGCGAAGAAAAGGTATGTGTATTGGTCTAATTCACGTTTGTTATGATAGATTTTTTTTTTTTAGGAAGGTTGAGCTGATACATTAAATCTAAGGGAAATTACCCTGTTTTGTGTACTTTTGTGTAATGTTTCTGTGTTTATACTATTTCCTTCTGCATGTAAGCTGAGCTCCCCTTGCTACTTCCCACATAAACTCTTGAAGAACTCTGAATATGCTCAGGCACAAAGGAGAAGGAGAAGCTGTGAGCGGCAGGAACAATTCATCTTCCTCAACAGGATCTCACTATGTAGCCTAGACTGTTAATGAACTCTATCCTCCTACCTCAGCCAACTACTAGTATTATGAATATGCCAACATTCTGAGAGTTTTTATTTATTTTTTAAATTTATGTATTTTTGCTGGTCCTAGGGCTTGAACTCTGGACCGGGTGCTATCCCTTTGCTCAAGGCGAGCACTCTAGTACTTGAGCCAAAGCACGAGCCTTTTTGAGTAGATTATTGGACAGCCTGTATGCTGTCCCTGAGCTTTTTCCTCAAGAATAGCGTTCTCTCTCTTTCTCTCTCTCTCTCTCTCTTCCCTCAGTCATGGGGCTTGAACTGGGCATTGTCCCTCAGCTCTTCAGCACAAGGCTAGCACTCTACCACTTAAGCCACAACGCCACTTCCAGTTTTCTGGTGACTTATTAGAGATAAGAGTCTCATGGGCTTCCTGTCCAGTCTGGCTTAGATCTTTCTAAGACTAACCTCTTGCTGTTGAAGTTTAGCCTTACATTACTTTCTCAGAATAATCTTATGTGTTCATTGCTTTTTGTAATTGTTGTTATTTTCTTTAGTTGTACAAAAGGATTTGACCATTGATTGATAATTCAATAACTACTGATCACCATCCCCTTATCTAATCGCACATTTTCTTATTTCATGTTTCCCCCAAATTTGAATATTTAACATCACATGACCAAAGACTTTGTTTGCACATCACTGAAACCTATTTCAAGTTACACTTAGCATGTAATAGGTATTGTGTATTTCATTGCCTGGATAAATAAAGGTATAGAGACCTAGATCTTAAATTGAGGAGCTTGTTTCACTTATCTCCTGGTGGTTTACATTGGCATGCACATTGATAGTGTAAGCCCACATGCAGGTTTTGACAGTAAATTTCGGAAGAATAATTCAGACAACTTCACTGATTCTAGCTGAGCTATTGACCAGTGCAGAGAAGAGAGCAGAAATGCAGAAACAGATTGAAGAGATGGAAAAGAAGCTAAAAGAAATACAAACTACTCAGCAAGGAAGAGCAGATAATCAGGTATTTCTATCTATCCATCCATCCATCCATCCATCTATCTATCTAGTCAGTCGTGGGGCCCAAACTCTGGGCTCTTGGGCACTATCCCTCAGTTCTTTAGCTCAAGGCTAGTGCCCTACCAGTTGAGCCACAGCTCCTCTTTTGACTTTTTTCTGCTTATGTGGTGCTGAGGAATTGAACCCAAGGACTTCATGCATGCAAGGCAAGCATTATACCACTGAGCCAACTTCCCATCCCGTAATTATTATTTTTTAATCTACAAATCAGCCTTTGTTGAAAGAAATTAAATGGCGTTTGTTTTGTTTTATTTTCCAGTGCTGGGTATCAAACCCAGGACCTACATATGTTACAACAGCATTCTACTTCTTTTTTGGGGGGGGGGGGTCCGGTCGTGGGGCCTGAACTCTGGGCTTGGGTACTGCCTCT